TTTTTTGATCTACATATTTCACACTGTCATTCTTGCTACTGTGCTTTTCATTATCAACCCTCGTCTTGCACAACGCAGACATACCTCTTTCGTATGATTATTTCTTGATTGGGCCTCCATAGTCTCTTTCACCACCGGTCCTATTTTACAACTCGGCGCTTTGACGACATCGACAATGCTGTGAAATATGCGCCTGCCGGCAGCTGTTTTACATGCAGCTTCCGGGCTTGAACTTGATATTTTTGCCCCGGATAACTCTGCTAATTTTGTGGTAGTCGTAAAAAATTCTTTGAAAATTTTTAGATAATTCGACGTTTTTTGAACAACGAGATGCCAGCAGTACCGGCGGTACAATTTGGGCTTGTTGACGTACGTGATGTTGCGCAGGCGCATATTCGTGCCATGTGTGAACCACGTAGTGATGGGCAACGAATCCTTGTTACTTCACAACCCAGCTTCTGGTTCATCGATATTGCCAATGTTTTACGACACGAATTCTCATCACAAGGTTTCTTTTTTCATGAATTTACATGTCGCTTTTTGATCCTTCAATCACCGATGTCGGTTACTCTTTATTATTCGTGCCTACTGTAGTGATTAAGCAAAGATAATCAGCACTCTGTATTACCACAGTCTTTTTGCATGCAATTTGCCCTTTCTTGAACGCCTCAGTATAAGTTTTGCTTTCGACTGAGCGTAAAAGAGGATTGTGCAAATATTCTTTAAGCATTTTGAACTGAACGCACAACGTAGGTGTGAAGAAACAACCATTCATGCAGTTAACCTAATTGTTTCAAACTTGTTGCAAAAAGTCATGATCGCATCGGCTCGCTTGGTGCGTCCCAACCTGGGTTTATATGCAAATTTTTATTCATTTTTTGCAAAATCTTGTGTCCGAAGAATTAAATTTGTTCATAATCGTAAATTCGCATAAACGAAAACAAACAGTTTCCGTTTAGAGGTCGTTTTTTGAAAACAACCCGGCTGTTCAACGAGCAGTTTCCCCGCCAAGAAATTTAAGTGCCCGTACACGAGAACCACGCGTACCTGGAGGTTGGACTTTAAAACCTTAAGTTGTATTTGAACGGGAAATATTCTAAAATTTCAGCTTCCCAGCTTTTCTGGTCCTGGATTAGCAATTTTCCCCGCCAAAAATTTTTACTGGGCCATACGTGAGAACCACGCACGCCTGGTGGCTGAATTTGATAGCTTTAAGTTGTGCATGGGCCGGGAATATCCCCTTAAAATTTCAGTCTCCTTGCTTTCCTGGTCCCCAAGTTAACAATGTTGCCACCATGAAACCTCACGGGGCCGTACGCGGTAATTACGCACACCTAGGGCTTGAATTTGAAATCTTTGAGTTCTATGTGGACGGGGGACATAGCCTCGAAATTTCAGCTTCCTAGCTTTTCTCGTTCCGGGTTAGCAATTTTCCCGCCAAAACTTTCACCCGCCCGCACGCGGAGGCAAGACATGCGTGACGGTTGGTACCGCAGTCCTAGAATTACACTTGGCCTAGGGCCCACTGGCAAAATGTTGGCGCCGGAGCTTGCTTGGTTGCCGAATTGAAATACCCGGACAAACGAACAGATACACGCACAAACATACATACATACACACACACACACACACACACACACATGCACAGACTGCAGTTTGCATACATGCAAAAACGCATGAAAATTGAACAAATTGAACAAATACTTTGAAGAATATTTTATTAATTCAGGCTACTACATTCCAAGATTTGTGGTACCATATCCGATTATTTGGTGTTACTCATTTTTTGACAAGGAAGCTGCGCAGGTACTCAGTCGAATCGGCAAACAATCGAATTTCGATAATTCTCGAGTAAGTGATGTTGCCTCCTTTTTTTTCCGAAGTAACACCGAGATTTTTTGTTGTAAATCCACGTTGTGTCTTCAACCGCTTACAAAATTAAGTACAACAGTACCAGGCATTTTTTTCTTAGAACAGTTGACTTTTAGCATCGTCACAAAATCGTCTAAGCCAGCGAGTACCACACTCAGTGCCGAAGCAGTTAGTACTAGTTGCTAACTTTGAGTTTAAGCGAGTTCCACAATTGTTTCAGGCCAAAACGATCCTTGGAATGGAATTCAGGGATCCTAAACAGTCAATAATTGCAATGGCATATGACATTATCGAGCGT